GGAAGAACTTAATACATGGAGAGATTTCCATGTTCGTGGATAGGAAGACCTAGTATTGTCAAGACGTCAGTTTTTCCCAAGTTGATCTGTAGATTCACTGCAATCCCAACAAACTGATCCTGAAGTTTGGAGAGGCAGACCTAGCAGAGCTAACACAATATTGAAGGAAAAGAACAAAGTTAAAGTACTAATACTAACTGACTTCAAGACTTAGTATAAAGTGACAGTAATCACGACAGTATAGTATTGGCAAAAGAATGTACAAATTGATCAGTGGAACAGGACAGAGAACCCAGTAACAGCCCCACTTAAATGAAGTTAACTGATCTTTGACAAAGGAGCAAAGGCAACACAATGAAGTAAAGATAGTCTTTCTTTTCAACAAATGGTGCTGGAAAAACTAGACTTCTGAAAAATGAATCTAGAAATGGACCTTATATTCTTCACAAAAATTAACTCAAAATAGACCACAGATCTAAATGTAAAATACAAAACTATAAAATTCCTAGGTGATAACATGGGAGAAAATCTAGATGACCTTGGATTTTGTGATAACTTTTTAGATGTAACACCAAAGGCACATCCATGAAAGAAAGAATTGATAAGCTGGACTTCATTAAAATTAAAAATTTCTTTGCTGCAAAAGACACATCAGCAGAATGAAAAGACGGTCTCAGACTGGGAGGAAATATTTGCAAAAGACACAGCTTGATAAAGGACTGTTATCCAAAATATACAAAGAACTCAACAGTAGTAAACCATCAGATTAAAAAATGGACCAAAGATGTTAACAGACACCTCGCTGAAAAAGATACACAAATGGCATATGAAAAGATGCTCCACATCACATGTCACCAGGGAAATGCAACTTAAAACAACAATGAGATACTATTGCACATCTATTAGAATGGCCAAAATTCGGAACACTGACAGCACCAAATGCTGGTGAACATAGGTGGTTTAAGAACTCATTGTTGGTGAGAATGCAAAATGGTACAGTCACTTTAGAAGATTGTTTAGTGGTGTCTCTTACAATTAAACATACTCTTACCATCCTCTCCAGCAGTAATGCTCCTTGGTATTTACTCAAAGGAGTCGAAAACTTAGGTCCACACAGAAACCTGTACACAGCTATTTGTAGCAGCTTTATTCAAAATTGCCAGAACTTGGAAGCAACCAAGATGTTGTTCAGTATGTGAATGGATAAATAAACTGTGGTACATCTAGACAGTGGACAAAATGAGTGATCTTGTTATGAAAAGACATGGAAGACATGGAAGAACCTTAAATGCATAATATTAAGTGAAAGAAGCCAATGTGGAAAGGCTGTGTGCTGCATGATTCCAACTATTTAACATTCTGGAAAAGGCAAAATTATTTGCAAGGCAGCCCTTGTCACTGCTAGACAGCTCTCATTCCTGGGCAGGTCTTTACATTGTGCCAAAACCTTCATGAAACTTCCACCCAACAGTCCCAGTTATGGCCTCTAGAACTACTGATGTCATGGTTTGAACAGAAGATAGCTGATGTATTCTCATGTAGGTCTTCTTTTCTGTCACCTAAATGCCTTGTTTCCTGAAATTCCCCCATTGCAGGTTTTCACATTTCTTGATTACCCTTCTTTTAGTGTTCTCTCGCTGCCAGTGACTCCTTTGAAAGAAAGGTGTCTGAAAATCCCTATATGCCTACAGCAGCAGGGCTTTTTGGTGAATGAATCTATGACAGTTTATTTATCCAGTGCCCTGTTGATAAACTAGTAGTTTGTTTCCAGTCTTCTGCTATTGTGATGCAAAGAAAAATGGTGATGCATTTTATAAATAGCTATGTAATAACTTCCTAGAAAAGGAACAGTGAGGTAGAAGATTATGCATATCTGAAATTTTATTAAATTTTGACAAATTGCTTTTTTAGAGTTTGTTCCATTTTACCTTCTCACCAGAAGTCTGTGTGAGAATGCCTCTTTTCCCACACGGTCTCCAACACAGTGTGATATTTTAACATTTGTATCTTTTTGAATCTGGCGAGTGAAAAGTGGCGTCTCATTTCGATTTGAATTTGGATTTCTCTTCATTTTGAGAGAAGTTGAGTAACTTTTCATGTTTCTAAGAATCCCCCTTTCTCTTTTCTGGAAGCTTTGCAGATCTTTTATCTTTAGTGTTCTAAAAACACATTCTTTCATCCTAGTGTGGGGATTTATGGTCATTGATTGTGCTGGGTACTTGAGTGTGCCATTTTGGTCTGAAAACCTGTGTCCTTTGGGTCTACAAAATTCATCCTGTATTGTTTATATTTCCTCCTTTTTGTTTTCTCTGTTACTGTCTCTGACACTCCTTTCTTTTCATCTCTTTATTGACTTTTTTTTTTGAGGTGTTTGGTGATTTATCTTCTTTCTCTTTTATTTACCTTTAAAGAAATTGTAATGGTGGATACATGTCTTTATACATTTGTCAAACGCATAGAATGTACAACACCAAGAGCAAACCCTAATATAAACTATGGACTTCGAATGATAATGATGTCAGTGTAGATTCATCACTTGTAACAAATTTGCCACTCTGGTGGAGGATGTTTATCATGGGGTAGTCTGTGCCATGTGTGGGGGGCAGAGGATATGTGGAGTATGTCTGTATTTTCTGCTTAGTGTTCCTATGAGCTTAAAACTGCTTTAAAAAAGTCTATTTTATTTTTTATTTTTTACTTTTGAGACAGAATCTCACTCTGTTGCCCAGGCTGGAGTGCAGTGGAGCAATCACAGCTCACTGCAGCCTCAACCTCCCAGGCTCAAGCAGTCCTCCAATCTCGGCCTCTCCTGAGTGGCTGAGACTGCTCATTTTTTTGAGACAGAGTCTCACTCTGTTGCCCAGGCTGGAACTCAGTGGTGTGATCACAGCTCACTGAAGCCTCAACTTCCCAGACTCAAGCAGTCCTCCGACCTCGGCCTCCCGAGTAGCTGAGACTATAGGTGTGCACCACCGTGCCCAGCTGTTTGTTTTGGTAGAGACAGGGTTTTGCCGTGTCGTCCAGGCTGGTCTCAAACTCCTGGGCTGAAGCAATCTGCCTGCCTTGGCCTCCAAAGTGCTGGGATTGTAGCCATGAGCCACTGCACCCTGCCAAAAAAAAATCTGTTTTAAAGGAAAAAAAAAAAAAAAAAGACCATCATATTTTTGATTTCCAAGCTACACATTTTTCTCTGATTTGCTCTTTTCCTAACTATCCTATTTTGTTTTTTGGTCTCATGGGTATATCATCTTAAATGTCTCTGCAAAAGCTCTCTATGATTCCTGAAATATCTATTTCATGTATTGTCATTTTGCTGTTTATCTTAGTCTTGTGGGCTACCAGGGGAGCAACATAAAGCTGATTTAGAGCTCTGGGTAAGTAGGGCAGGTCTGTCAACCAGTGCACTGTTTAGCTTGAGCTGACAGGGAGCCAGCTGTTACATTGGGGAACCCCTAAGTCCTACCAAGTGAAGGTTTTTGTTCTAGGGCACCAGTGTTCACCGTATCTGTTCTAGTTCTAATTTGTTTAGTTTCTCTCTGATCTTTTGTCTGGGAAGAGTTGAGAGTCCACATTTGGCTGCTAGGCATTCTGTATTAGGGTAGAGGGATTTTGAAGGAAGGTGTCAACTAATCTCTGCAGGACTTTAAATCAGTCCTCTTGTTTTTAGCTTTTTGTCTCAGTCCCACGCCGGCAGAGCCAGGTGTTACCCACTTGGGAGCCTCCTGGTGCTCCACAAGGCATATTGGCCCCTCCACACTGCAGTCTCACCTGTGCTACTTGGGGCAGCTCTCTCTGCCACATGTTACTTACCTTCGCCCTGAAACTCTCTCATCCATCGGTTTTCCCTTCCTGTACTCTATACAATTGTAGATTCATATCTTCATATGCCTTGTAACATTTTCATGTGGTCTCAAAAGGAAGAGAATCACATGTGATCTGTTATCCTCTCTATCCAGAATATCTTGTTTCTTCAACCTGTGTTTTCCACTTGCATCTTTTTTCCGCTTTGAATCTATCTTCAACTCCTTAATTTATGTATAATAGTAATTGATTTTGGCATGGGCAGTTAGCATTACACCTTTTGTATACCCATAAGGAGTGACCTGACCAAGGGCTCAGAGCTAATAAGTAGCAGAACAAATAACCCTCTAAGTCTTTAGATTTCCATTATATTGTATTATTTCCTCATATCCATTTATTCTGTCTTTTCAAAGTTCTTTGAATTATTCTGGTATTTGTTCTGATTAAAGATTTCTTTCACCTCCTAGTTTATTCTTATTAGTTTGAAGTTTATCCTTGAGCCTTGTCAATCACACTTTGGCAGAATAAACATTTTACATAGTTTAATTAGTTGTTGAATAATATTTTTGATGTTTCTGACAAATCTGCCCTAGTGAGCCCAGTGGTTGCAGCTTGAAGCCAACCTTAGTGACAGTGAATAGTGACATATTATTTGCCACAGTCATTTTTGGTTCGCTTTGTTGTTTTTCTATTTTGTTCTGTTTTTATTTTGGTGCTAAACCAAAAAGAAGATTGGAATCAGGATCTAAATTCACCAAGTATTTAGGTTATCTGTACACAGATTTTAGTGATGACTAAGGAAGTTTTTAAAAATGGGTATCTTTAAAAGAAATTTGAAATAATTCCTTACTAACCTGATCCATTTAGTTGCTAAGATTATATTTCACAAGGTATGTGGTGGTTTGGTGGTTAAATTTTCATTTTAAAGTGGTGATAGTTGCAAATATTCTGAAACAGACTAATTATAATTACTTTCATTCAAATACTGAATATGAAAGTATATAATCATTTTTATATATTTGTAATATAATTATTTGTATGTGGTAAGAAAGACTACTGTGTATTTTTCTGACAACATTTAATGGTAGTTATGATATTTCCATTTCTTTGGACTTGTTCACAGAAATATAATTATGGTTACTTAAGAAAACATGTCCTAGATAAACGTAAAGATTATATCCCATCTTTTTTAAAAATAGGAGCAGATGTCTCAAGTATTAGATGCCATGTTTGAAAAATTGGTCAAAGATGGGGAGCATGTAATTGATCAAGGTGACGATGGTGACAACTTTTATGTAATTGATAGGTAAGTTTTGTCCAGCCTTACTATTGAAATTTAAAGAACCTTTTGTGTAAAATCTCAACCATTATTATGGCAACTGACAGGTTAATACAGGATAGTTGTTATTGCCACTACTCTAACTACTACATAGTAGGCACTGTAAACCTGTTGTGAGTACATGCAGTGAAGCCACAGTGGATCATGAGAAGAGTCATAGGTTATAGAGGAACTGATGACTGACTTGTGGTTAGTCTAATCTGTAAATGTCAGTCATTTAACGTGAGCATCTTCATTTGCCAAATTCTAATTGAGAGATGTGTGATGGCATTAGTATGTACTAGATGCCTATTACAGTAAGAACGGCAGTATAATATGGCATCTAAGATGTTAATTCACAGTAGACTTCAATTGGTATTTCTTAAAAGTTTTTTTTTTAAACTATGTAAAACATGCTCATGGTTTAAAAAATTCAGAATTGGCTGGGTGCAGTGGCTCACGCCTGTAATCTCAGAACTTTGGGAGGATGAGGCCGGTGGATCACTTGAGGTCAGGAGTTCAAGACTAGCCTGATCAACATGGCGAAACCCCGTCTCTACTAAATACAAGAAAAATTAGCCCGATATGGTGGTACACACCTATAATCCCAGCTACTTGGGAGGCTGAGTGAGGCAGGAGAATTGCTTGAACCCGGGAGGTGGAGGTTGCAGTGAGCCGAGATTGCGCCATTTGCACTACAGTCTGGGCAACAAGAGTGAAACTCCGTCTCAAATAATAAATAAATAGATAAATAAATAAAAATAGAAAATGCAAATACTTCACAGGGGCATAAGGTGAAAAGTAAGTCAGTCTTCCTGCTGCTTCAACAGCATCGAGTCTGTATAGTAAGTAGTTTGTGCATCCTTCCAAGAATTGTATATTATTATATTTGTCTTAAAAACTCTATAATTATTTAAAGAAATCTTACGTTTATGTTGAAAATCTATTTTCAAGAAATTTAAGTTGTGCTTTACCTCATCATAGAACAATGTGCCTTATGCAATAGATGAATCCTAAAATCTGACAGCAGAGCAGCCTGAGCTGACTCCTTATTTCTTCACTTTTGTAAAACAGTGATGAGTGTTCGCATCCCTGACCCCTCCCCTTCTGTGTGGAACGCAGGTCCTCTCCCAGCCTGACTCACTGGATTATGTTTTCTCTCTGGGTTGAGTTGTGTACACCTCAGAGGTCTTGGTGAAAATGACCTCTTTAGTCTCCTGAAGCCTCATTTCATTATTTTGGCTCTATGGGTGGTATCTTTCATGCATCAGTCGCTCATGCTCTTTAAATCAAGAGTTTTCACTGATTGTCCCATTCCCTCATCCCTAATGCCTGGTGACCTATGACTGAAGCATTAGCCAAGATTTTAGAGTAGAATAAACCAGTTATCTATATGTGAATCAAAATAATGATTTTTATATCATTAATAGCTTTCATCGGTGCAACACCTCAGAAATGCACCTAAGTGTGTTTAATTGTAGAAGTGTATGAGAAACCCTAACCCTCTACGATCTTAATCATTTAGTGGGGATTTTTGACTTTCATAACTGCCTTACACTTGTATATAGTCTATTCCCTTTTCAGTTAGATCCTAGTCACCCATTTGATAGATGAAAACATGCAGGCGCACAGAAGTAACAGCACTTGGTTCAGATCACTCAAATGACTGGCGTAGAGCCAACTCCACAGCCAGGTCTCTTGCCCTGTTCATTCTCTTTCTGGGGCTCTGCCCTGCCTGAGGCCTCACATTATCAGAGAAGAAATCTGTGTGAAAAAAACAGCCCAAGGTTTTTTTTTTTCTTTTTTGCACAGTCTTGCTCTGTCGCCCAGGCTAGAGTGCAGTGGTGTGACCTCGGCCCACTGCAACCTCTGCTTCCCAGTTTCAAGCGATTCTCATGCCTTAGCCTGCGGAGTAGCTGGGACTACAGGTGCCTGCCACCACACCCAGCTAATTTTTGTATTTTCAGTAGAGACGAGGTATCACCATGTTGGCCGGGCTGGTCTCGAACTCCTGACCTCAGGTGATCTGCCTGTCTTGGCCTCCCAAAGTGGTGGGATTACAGGTGTAAGTCAGTGTGCCCGGCCTAGCCTGCGGTATTTTAACAGACTTTAGACTGATGTGATTTCAACTGTACTGGTAGCTCATTTTACTTTTCCTCAGCACATTTTGCTGTGTTTTACCCTATTCAAAGTAGTGAGTGTAGAGAACAGTTTCAGTGCAAAAGTGTAAATAGTTTAGTAAATTGAGGAGTTTAATCTATAGCATTGCTAGTCTGAAAATCTGAAATGCTCCAAACTCCAAAGCATTTTGAGCGCCAACATGATGGCACAAGTGGAAATTCCACATCTGACCTTATGTGATGGTTCACAGTCAAAATGCAGGCACACAACAGCTTATTCAGCATCCCCGAAGGGGTTAGTGTATGACGTACAGTAACTTTAATCAGAACACAGCATTGTAGGTGGAGACTGCAGGCCTGCCATTGTTTGTGGTTGCTCTTGTTTGGCAGCCAGTGCAGGTACTCTGGGGATGCTGCTGTGCTGCTTAGTTACCCCAAACACATTATTTTTTATTGTATTAATGGTATGTCATATTTTTTACTGTTGAGTACTTATGTGTGAATACAAGTAAAAAATGATGGCTTATTGGTAGCATATAAATTGGGAGTCAGGAATGATGGTAATGCTGAACAACCACAGATTGTTCACATGGGTGGCTGAGATAATGACACTTTTGCTTTCTGATGGTTCAGTGTACACAAATTTGGTTTCATGCACAAAATTACTTAAAATATTAAATAAAATTATCCTCAGACTGTATGTACAATATATGAAACATAAATTAATTTTGTATTTAGACTTAGGTCTCATTCCCAAGATAACCTCATTCTGTATATGCAAATATTCTAAAATCTGAAAATGTCTAAAATCTATAACACTTCTGATTCTGAAAATTTTGGATGAGGGAAACTCAACCTGTACTTGAAAAATGATTATCCATGGGACAAATTCTAGTAGTTTCCCTCGAAACAGTCATTCTATCCATGAATTACATTGAAAACCAATTCTTTTCCTTTTTTTTTGAAATGGAATCTGCTCTGTTGCCCAGGCTGAAGTGCAGTGGCGTGGTCTTGGCTCACTGCAACCTCCGCCCTCCTGGGTTCAAGCGATTCTCCTGCCTCAGCCTCCCAGGTAGCTGGGATTACAGGTGGCTGCCACCACGCCCGGCTAGTTTTTTTTGTATTTTTAGTAGAGGTGGGGTTTTACCATGTTGGCCAGGCTGGTCTCAAACTCCAGACCTTGTGATCTGCCCACCTCAGCCTCCCAAAGTGCTGAGATTACAGGCATGAGCCACTGTGGTCTGGCCGTGAAACCAATTATTTTCTTCCTTAGTAATAATATCTATTGTCTATCATGTTTCTGCTCTTATTGCTTCTTTATTATTAATAATCCTTTTCTTTCTTTTTTGGAGGGACAGGGAGAGTGTCTCACTTTCTTGCCTAGGCTGGAGTGTAGTGGTGCAGTCGCAGCTCACTGCAGCCTTGAACTCCTGGGCCTAAGCGATCCTCTTGCCTCAGCCTTCCAAGTAGCTAGGAGTACAGGCATGTGCCACCATGCTTGACTAATTTTTCAGTTTTTTGTAGAGACAGAGTCTTGCTATGTTGCCCAGTCTGGTCTTGAACTCCTGGCTTCAAATGATCCTCCCATCTTGGCCTCCCAAAGCATTGGAATTAGAGGCATGAGGTACCAGGCCTGGGCATAATAATTTTCTAATGTTAAAAGCCACTTTTTTTTTTTTTTTAGCAGCACAGCCCCACCCTTTGTCTTTGTTAGGGTTTAATCAACAGAATATAAGCCAAAGACTTTTTCCTGTCTGCCCTCATAGGTGCAAGCCTTGAAAGCATGTTCTCTGATAAAATACAGTATGTGGAAAGTCAGTCATCCACACGAAGAATGCAGTTTACATGAATATAGGGTCTGGGTAATATGAAGTGCAGTGACATGCAAACTGAACCTTATTTGCCTAGAAAAAGAACCCCAGTTAAAAGATAAGCACCAAAAAACTGTGAAAAGACCAGAGTTAGATATCTAGTCTGAATTTCTACTTTTTAACTTTAGAATGGGGGTTGATCTAAAGTAAAGGGCCAGAGAGTAAATACTTTTGGCGTTGCAGGCCGATATGTTCTCTGTTGCAACAACTCAGCTCTGCAGTTGTAGCATAAAACCAGCCATAGATAACACATAAACAAACAAGAGTGTTTATAATTGCAGTGAAACTTTATTTACAAAGGCAGATAGTCAGTTTGTGGGCTATAGTTTGCCAACCTCTGCCATAGATTATAAAGGACACTAGTAAGTTTTGTAGAGTAGTGACTAACCAAATTGCTATAGCTAGATTCTTCTTAAAAAGTTACTTTCTTCTGATCACAAAAGTAATAATATGTTCATGTTACAAACAGAAACTCTTAAATAGCCAATGTGCCTAGAATCCCTCACTATTCTTGTGCTCTTAGATAACTATAGTCAGTGGTTTGATAAATGTTTCTTCAGATGATTTTCTTTCATTTTTTAAGGCTAATTTTTTTGTAGAGATCGAATCTTGCGATGTTGCCCAGGCTAGTCTTGAACTCCTGGGCTAAAGTGATCCTCCCACCTTGGAATTCCAAATTGCTGGAATTACAGGTGTAAGTAAGCCATCACACCCAGCCTCTTCAGATGATTTTTTTTTTTTTTTTTTTTTTGAAATGGAGTTTCGCTCTTGACGCCCAGGCTGAAGTGCAGTGGCACAATCTCAGCTCACTGCAACCTCCACCTCCCGGGTTCAAGCGATTCTCCTGCGTCAGCCTCCCGAGTAGCTGGGATTATGGGATCCCACCATCACACCTGGCTAATATTTTGTGTTTTCAGTAGAGACAGGGTTTCACCATGTTGGCCAGGCTGGTCTCAAACTCCTAACCTCAGGTGATCCGCCCGCCTCGGCCCCCCAAAGTGCTGTGATTACAGGCGTGAGGCCTGGCCTCTCCAGGTGGTTTTTTATGCATATACTATTTGGTTATAGTCTTTAGTTATAGTTTTATCATTTGTTATTCCAAATTTTTATTGGTTAGTTCCATTTTTCCCAGCAGGCACATGGTCTGGAACAGATGGCACAGATGGATTCCCCTTTATTACTTGTCATCGGAGGGGATAAACAGGCTGGAAATACGATTTTATTTCACAGGGCTCTTTTCTGAAATAATGTTTTATTTTAATGAGATTTTATTTGAATTAACCTCCAATCTACATATGTCCAACAGAGGCACATATGATATTTATGTGAAATGTGATGGTGTTGGAAGATGTGTTGGTAACTATGATAATCGTGGGAGTTTCGGCGAACTGGCCTTAATGTACAATACACCCAGAGCAGCTACAATCACTGCTACCTCTCCTGGTGCTCTGTGGGGTTTGGTGAGTAAAATATTTATTTGACCTGAATGTTATGATTTGTAGCAATTGCTATGACAGTGTTACACATTGCCGCATGTAGTATTTTAATTTAAAGATCATCAGTCATCAGGTAATTTATTAAGCAGCCACTGAATGCTGAACTGTAGGGCACTAAGACTGCACTCAGATCCTCATGTCATTGCCCCCACTCCTCCAGTCCAGTCAGGATCTTGGGACCTGGTGTCCCAGGAAAGACACTCAGATTCAGAATGCTCCTGTCTTACCCACTCTTAGAAAATAACGAGCCATACAAACACAACCTTCAGTACTTTTTCTCAGATAGCTTTCTGAAGTAAGTATTATAATCTGATAAATTGGTGGCTCCCAGAGTGTGGTCCCGTGAACACTGGCAGCTATATCACTTGGAAACTTTTTAGAAATGCCCATTCTGGGGCCCCACCCATTGATTCTGACCTACTGCATCAGAAATTTGGAGTTTGAGAAACCAGTATAAAAGGATGCTCTTGGTGCTATAAATTGATTGGTAACTGCTCTGCATTTAAAAGCAGATGTGTAGGGAAAAAATGCTTGGTCGCTGTGCTGATGTGCCCCACATCAGAATTACCTGGAGTATTTTTTAAAAATCCTTTTACCTAGATCCCACCACAGGCAAATTTATCAGAATCTTCAGCACTGGGACCTGGGCATTAGTACTTTTAAATATATTTCTTAATGTGGTATTCCTGCAAGACTTAAAAGCTGTTTTAAAGATATATTCGGGCAGTATTTTCACATATGATAGGATGCAAATTATTAGGCACTACTAAAGCTGCTTCTGGAAGATTGTATTTAAGGTAGTGATTCTCCAACTTTAATGTGCTTCCAAATCACCTGGGAATCCAGTTAAAATGTGGATTCTGATTCAGTGGTTCTGGGGTGAGGCCTGTGATTTTTGCATTTCTCATCAGCTCCCAGGAGGTGGCAGTACTGCCTGATGTCAGGCCAAACTTTAAACAGCATCGATTTAGGGAAATGTTTACAATATATGTATTTTATTTTAAAATTGTTGAAAATAGCTCACCCACTAGTTTTGACATGCATTTATTGGGTTATTTCTCTCAAATCCTTTTGTGGAAAGAGAAGAGGTTGAAGTAAATGTGAAGTTTGTTAACAGTCTCATTTCCAAGGACGACTGTATATAGCATTACAGAAGTCACACATTATTTAGTCACAGTTCAGCATTTGACTCTGAAGTCGATTCAGCTGATAAAAATATCTCTTGATCAAAGAGACATTTTACATTTCTTTTAATTAGAACCAGTTATTATATACTTATTTAAAAATGTGATGAGTCACTTTTTTAAGGTTTAGAAGAAAAGCTGAGTTGTCTCAGGGAGAAGGAAACTCATCATCTGAAGTGTTTTAAGAACTGTCAGTGATTTGAATACCCAGAACCAGCAAAGAAAAAACTCCAAACCGGAACAGTCCTTCACCCACAGAAGTGTTTGTTTGCCTGTCATTAAAGCGGTGGGATAAATCTAGCATCTGCCATGACCTGTTTTATTGAGGAAGGTTTACTTTTCAAATGTAGTCATTCCAGTGGGGTTGCCATTCAGATTCAGATTGTCACACAGTGAGGAAATTGCCTCCTTGCACATCTTCAGAATAAGATCAATGATTTTATAGGTTGGCCTTTTTGAATACTGATAGTTTTTACCCCTTGTAGAAACCTTAATTGGGTATAAAAGACCCAGAATTTCCTAGTCCACGTACTACTTAAGTTCCTAAGAAGGATTAAGCATTTTCAGAGATTTTTAGTTGTCTATACATGTTACTAAATTTTATAAAAGTGGGCAGTTTGTCATGATCCTCCTGATGTATAATAGCTTTCTAAAAATGTTAGGATAATTAACATAATTGCTTAGTATTTCAAGCCTGCTTTTTAAGGGCGACTTGACTATAATAACTCCTTCTCAGGGAGAGTCGAGTAGAAAAGAAATTTTTCTTTTAAGGTCAACAGACTGGAGGTCTGCCTTATAAATGTAAGTGTAAAGATAAGCAAAAAAAGCCCAAGAGAAAAGTCCATTGCAGTATACCCTCACTCTGTAAATAATATTTGGTCACTGTTAGCCTTAGGGGTAACATGATCTATGTGACTGTACTGATGATTTGGAAGGGGGATTGTTGAAATGGCTTCAGGATGAAAGTATTTGAAATTCTGGACTTTATATGTCACACTGGGTGTGAAGAGATACGTTACTAATGGTAAATTCTTTCTGAGAGAGATAACTGATTATGATTAGTTTCTAAACCATTAAGCTATTTTGAGTCTTCTCTGTTTTGCAATAAACTCTGTCCATAAAAATGGTGTTATACCTGATTTCCAAACCTGATTATGTATCAGAATCACTTTGGGAGCATTTATGAAATACACATTATTGAGCCCTACATGCAGAGATCTTGAGTCATTCAAGTCTGGTGTCTCAGAAATCCTTTTTAGTACTCTAGCTTATTCTGATGCAGAGCTAGGCTTGGAAATAATTTCAATATTTGTGCTAATTATCGTAAAATTTTCTTTTAAAAGAAGTATTAGGAGTAAAACAAGTCCAAATTACAGCCAATACCAAATTGGGAAACAAGATGTTTAATTTACTAGTGTCCTAGTCCTTTTGGGCCGCTGTGACAAACTGTTACAGAATGGTAGGCTTAAGCAACAAACATTTATTTCTCATCGTCTGGACACTGGGAAGTCCAAGATCAAGGCACCAGAAGATTCGGGTCTGGGGAGGGCTTGTTTTCCTGTTTAACAGACAACGTCCTCTACTTGTGTTCTCACGTGGTGGAAGGGGCAAGGGAGCTCATTAGAATCTCTTTTATAAGGACATTAATCCGATTCATGAATGCTCCACCCTCATGACCTAACCATCTCCCAAAGACTCCACCACCTAATACTATCCTGGGTGATCAGGATTTCAACAGAGGGATTTTAGAATGATAGAAACATTGAGTTGCAGCCCATCGCACCTAGAGACTTTCATCTATACTGGTCTTTTTCTCTATTGCACTAGTTCGTTTAAATTCAGCCTTACTATGGTGGCATAAGAAAGAATGAATAAGACCTAGTATTTGGTAGCACATAATAAAATTGTATAATTTTAAAATAAGTGTAATTGGATTGTTTGTAACTCAAAGGATAAATGCTTGAGTGGTCGGATACCCCATTCTCTATGATGTGCGTATTTCACGTTGCATGCCTGTATCAAAATATCTCATGTACCCCATAAATATACACCTACTATATACCCACAAAAATTAAAAATAAAAGTAAAAAATATTAAATTGTTTGCATAGTAATTTATTAAATAATATATCCCAATTTTTACTTTATTAAAATGGTATAATTGTTTATTAATGAATGCCAAGCTAACATAATTATTGAGGCTTTTATTAAAGAATTAAAATATGAGAGATTATTTAAAATAAAATTTTTAGGAAAATAATTTTTTCAGCTGTATCCTTAAAATTTTTACTAGTTCTTCAACCGAGTTCTGCATTTTTGAGGGCATGTAGTATAAACATAAACAGGAACATTTTAGACTGTGAACATGGTAAACACTGGAATTAGATCTTACTCAAAAACATAGTTGTAATTTCTCTGTGCCTCCACATTAAAAAAAATTTTTTATGGGTACATAGTATGTGTATATATGTACAGGGTACATAAGCTATTTTGATAACAGCATACAATGCATAATGATGACATCAGGGTAAATGGAGTAGCCATCACTTTAAGCATTTATCATTTCTTTGGGCATATCTCCACATTTTTAAAAAGAAAATTTTGACATAATGTGGATATGAAAAAACATAGAGTACATAACACAGAGTAAAAGAACACAGTGCTACCATATATTTTTAAAAATGCTGTGATAGCGCCTCCTTGTGGGCAGAGCCCAACATGTTGGTCAGATTTCTGTTATGTATGAAAGTAAACATACTTCCTTAAAAAAAAAAAAGAAAACAGTATTTTATGGGGTTCTGTATTATATTTTGTGCTTGATGAAATAAAAATATGAAATGAGTTGCATTAAAAATATACTGATGTTAATCTTTTATTTCAGAATCTTCAATCATTGCTTCTTGTAGGGAATAAAATAAAACTATTTGTATAGCTTTTCCCCCATAAAATTTACCTTTTAACTGTCTTTTATTTGATATTCTGCCTTTAGGACAGGGTAACCTTCAGGAGAATAATTGTGAAAAACAATGCCAAAAAGAGAAAAATGTATGAAAGCTTTATTGAGTCACTGCCATTCCTTAAATCTTTGGAGGTAAGTGCATGTTTATACTTTTATTTTATTTTGCTTTAAAAGTTTCTGTTTTGCTAGGAATATTTAGTTCTATAGAAAAATTTCCTTGAATAAAAAAAATTTATCCATGTTTTTATTTGAAGAGATTAAGTGGTAATGCTAGTTTTTATAACTCATTGTTTCTTCTGCTATCTATAATTGCATTTGTTTTGTTATTTGAAAGTTGTTTTGTATAATTGCATTCCTACCCCGCATCTATAGCACATGTATATGTGGTCTTTATCTAATAGCAGACGTCATACAATCACATAGATGTAGGCAAGAGCCACTAGTTGTAACTTTACAGGGAGGCGTTCTCTAGATAGAAGATGTCCTCTCTGGCCTCTTCCTCTCAGTCATCTTTGCTGTTTATTCCTCTTTTCTTCTCCTCTTAAAACTGGCATTCCAGGCCTCTGTCCTTGGCCTCTTCTCTTTTCAGGATACACTTACTCACTTGGTGAACATGTCAGATCCCATGGCCTTAAATACAGATGTCCCTTGACTTACGCTGGGGTTATCTTATGAATAAACCTATTGTGAGTTGAAAATAGCATAAATAGAAAATGTATTTAATACACGTAAACTATGGAACATTCTAGCTCAGCCTATGCTTAGGACACTCACATCAGCCTATAGTTGGGAACAGTCACCTGGCAGCACAGTGCACTGGAGAGCATGGGTTCATCTCATTGTGGTGAGGCTGGCTGGGTGTTGTGGCTGTCTGCCTGGCATTGTACTGCATATCACCTGGGAGAAGATTGAAACTCAAAATTAGAAGTATATTTTCTATCGCTTTCAAACAACTGTAAGGTTGAAAAATAATTAATTGAGCCATTGTAAGTCAGGGACCATCTGTACTGTCCATATATTGATGCTTCTTAAAATTGGTGTCACTGGGCAAGGCCCTTCCCTTGAAGGTCAGACTTACTTATCCAACTGCAAATACAAGATCTCCTCTCAGATGTCTAATAGACCTCTCAGACCTAGTATGTCCCAAATCTACTCCTTTTCTCTCTCCCTGCAGATGGTAACATATCCTTCCAGTGTCTCAGGCCAGAAACCTTCGAGTTAGCACTGACTTATCTGAACCACCATCACCTCTTGCCTGGTTAATTGCAGAATAATCTTCTAAAATCCCTGGTTGTGGCCCTGCTCTGTTTAAGCTCCTCCTCACATGGCCTCTAAGGCTCTGCACAGTCTGTCCCATTCCCCTGCCCATTTTCCCCAACCTCATTTCCTACTGCTCCACATTCATCATCTCTCTGTAGACACATCAGCTTCTTGCCACTTCTCAAACACACCTGTCCCACACCCACTTCAGGGTCTTCATACTTGCTCTCTGTGTGGAATGCCTTCCTCCACGGCCGCAGGGCTCCTTCATTTCTTAGCCCAGATGTCGTCTCAATGAGACCAGCTCTTAGGTTTTTATCTTTGAAGGTAACGACTTAACGAGAGAGAATAGGTTGTTGTTACTCTAAAAATTCAGCTTCATTTTCCATACTTTATCATTAAATTAAATGCTTTTCTATTTCACTGTCATATTTGAAATATTTTGAGAGTAATTAAAGACAGGCATATATATGTACCCACAATGTCTTGTAAAATGGCAAGTGTCAAAACAGCTGTGCTTCTCCTTTTGAATGTCTCTGTTGGATTATCAGCTTACGCCTGGTAGAAGTTTTGTCCATATCACGTAGTGTGTGGTAGACAGCTGATCTTTTCCAGCAGCATATTTCTTTAAATAAAAGTAGGTCAGGGATTGGAAATCCAGTGCCTTCAAAGCTAGGCAGGTAACACAGAGAAGAAAACCAAGCCAGGAAGGGACTTTGGCAGATTGGAGAACATGTATTTCATTAAAGAAACAGCTGCTATCCCACCATAGTGTTATTGTTGCCATGTGGAAATATGGGTTATTTGATGCTGATTTTTCAAGAGAAGCTGGAGATCCAATTTTTATGAAAAATTTATTTTAAAATGCTGACTGATAATACAACAAACACATAACAACCTACACACTGCTCAATTTATTTGTCCTGTAGGCTACCAGTTTTTTACTTCTTAAATAGATCAGCTTACCCAGTTAATTTGTTTCTATTTAATATTGTCTTTCTTTCTTTGTAGTTTTCTGAACGCCTGAAAGTAGTAGATGTGATAGGCACCAAAGTATACAACGATGGAGAACAAATCATTGCTCAGGTATGATATTTTGAAATCTAATTCAGTTTAGGGTTATTTTCCAAAAGGTTTGTGTAGTTGTAGATCTTGATAAACTTTTCATGTTTCTAAAACTAGTATGCAGTGATGGGTTAAATAAATATTACTTCTACCAAATAACCTGTTAAAAATGGCTTCATTTATAGTTACTACGCTATTGAATATTTTTATGTAATTAACTCTTAATGAATATGTATTAAACCATCAAATGATTTTCTGCATCATTGTAGTCATTTATAAGAGGAAAAAACAGGTGAATCTTCCATGAGGACCCAGAAAGTACACTGGAAAATTCTGTAGAGTTTTGCGTGATCATTTCATGATGAAACTTCCTGAGGCTGCTCCTTGATAAAAGTCACCAAGAAGGGAACACACTGCAACATATAATGTTTTGGCTTCCAAGCACTACATGTGGGTCAACATGCTATATAATCCCTAATACTTTTCTCAGATCCCAACTGGAACCAATAATATTAGATACCTGGGTTGGAGTAGGGCTACTAAAAGTAGAATTTGTGAAGACTGTTCATAGGTGAAGCATGCAGATGATAGTACCTTGTTTCCTAGTTATATTTGTGAAGCACTGAGCAAATGATTAAAATGGATTTTTAATAGATACTGTAATTTTTGTATCACAACCTTATACTATTTTGTGCTCTTTATCTGAAATGCAGTCTCTTCCTTTATATGGGAAACAAGATTCAAGGTCTTTGAGATTGAGAAAAAGAGAATTATTTTAGAAGACAAATGCATAAGTAAATCTTTCGATCAGCACCCTCTCCCATTGCTGCGTGTGTGTGTGTGTTACAGCAGTCAGGGATTGGGAAGAAATGGAGTCAAATAAAGTTAAAGTTCTACTATATAAATTGGTAAATAACAAAGCACAGAGCATGTTTTAAATGATTTTTAAAGGTTTTTATTTTAAAATAATTATAGATTCACAGGAAGTCGCAAAAATAGTTTTGAGAGGTCCCGTGTACCAGTTTCACCCAGTTTCTCCTAATGCATCTTGCATCACTATTAATAACAATATCAAAACTAGGAAAATGACATTGGCATAATTCACAGACCGTATTCAGTTTTCATCAGTTCTTAGGGCATGCTTTAAAAATAGTTAAAAATTACTCAGCAGTTAATAGACTTATTATGATTCAGAACACTCAAAAACTTAATATGAAGCTTTTATGAAAACCTGATATAAAAATAAGGGAAAGGACATATGCTATACTTAGGGTTTATTAAGGATATTTTTACATATTTGTTGTCTTTTAAGCATTTATAAATATACATATATACACACTATATTCTAAAAATCTAAATTCAACATTTATTTTTGTGATAGAATCAGATGCTAAACTTCTTGAATTTGTATTAAAGAATTTTGAAGTATTTTAAATTTCTCCAGAATCACTTTGAGAGTCTTAGAAAAGTCAGTGTCTGTATTATTATCTTCCATATTGTATTGTTTAATTCAGACTGCATCACTGGAGGTCAAGGCAGAGTTCATTAAGAAACAGAAACAAGAAAGAACAGATATATGGGTAGAAATAGCAACACTTCTCTTTTAGAAGTCCTTCCAGTGCCTTGAAATGGAATGTCAGTAGGCTAGCATGTCAGAGTTTGGTCCTCAGTTGACTGTAGTGAAAATGTCAAGGCCCACATCTGCTGCTTCCGGCTCCATCTGGGTGCTTTCTGCTCTTTGCAAGTTGATGGGTTATCTTGGGTCACCACGCCAATGCTTGCAATGTTAGGATGACGCAGGGTGCACGTCTTGGCACTTCCTAAGGAGCTCAGGATCTGCAGATATGTTTCTGCCAACTAAGGGGATGCTGCTGGCATACACAGCAGTGTTGCCATTTCCAACTATGTATGCTGTTATCTAGGCTGAAATTTGGGTGAAATTCTTACCCTAGTGTTATTTGTCACATTTTCTTGGTTTTTAGCAGAAATACGGTGGTAGAGAATATATTATTTCAGGGCCAAGCACAGTGGCTCATGCCTGTAATCCCGGCACTTTGGGAGGCTGAGGCAGGTGGATCACATTGAGGTCAGGAGTTCGAGACCAACCTGACCAACATGGTGAAACCCCATCTCTAATAAAAATACAAAATAAATAAATAAATACGGGTTCTAGATCCCTGAGGAATTGCCACACTGTCCTGCAAAATGGTTGAACCAATCTGCATTCCCACCAACAGTGCAAAAGCGTTCCTATTTCTCCACAGCCTCACCAGCATCTATTGTTGCTTGACTTTTTAATAATTGCCATTCTGACTGGTGTGAGATGGTATCTCATTATGGTTTTGATTTGCATTTCTCTAATGATCAGTGATGTTGAGCTTTTTTTCATATGTTTTTTGGCCACATAAATGTCTTCATTTGAGAAGTGTCTGTTCATATCTTTTGCCCACTTTTTGATGGCAGAAATACCATTTGACCCACAAATCCCATTACTGGGTATATACCCAAAGGAATATAAATCATTGTGCTATAAAGACACATGCACACGTATGTTTATTGCAGCACTATTTACAATAGCAAAGATACGGAACCAACCCAAATGCCCCCATCAGTGATAGGCTGGATAAAGAAAATGTGGTACATATACACCATGGAATACTGTGCAGCCATAAAAAGGAATGTGATCCTTTGCAGGGACATGCATGAAAATGGAAGCCATCATTCTCAGCAAACTAACACAGGAATAGAAAACCAAACACTGAATGTTCTCACTCACAGGTGGCAGCTGAGCAATGAGAACACATGGAAACAGGGAGGGGAACATCACACACTGTGGTCTGTCACGGGGTGGGGAGTGAAGGTAGGGAGAGTATTAGGACAGATACCTAATTCATGCGGGGCTGGCCTTAAAACCAAATGACAGGTTGATAGGTACAGCAAACCGCCATGGCACATGTATACCTGTGTAACAGACCTGCATGTTCTGCACATGTATCCTGGAATTTAAAGTAAAATTTTTTAAAAAGGGGGAAAAAATTAGCTGGGTGTGGTAGCACACGCTTGTCATCCCAGCTACTTGGGAGGGTGAGGCAGGAGAGTCACCCGAATCCAGGAGGTGGAGGCTGCAGTGAGCTGAGATTACACCACTGCACTCCAGCCTGGGTGACAGAGCAAGACTCCATCTCGAGGGGAAAAGAGTATTATTTCAAATAATTTTACAAATGAAATCATTACTACATAATTGTCCATCAAAACCTCTTGATTTAGGGCCGGGCGCGGTAGCTCACGCTTGTAATCTCAGCACTTTGGGAGGCCGAGGCGGGCAGATCACGAGGTCAAGAGATTGAGACTATCCTGGCTAACACAGTGAAACCCCGTCTCTACTAAAAATACAAATAAAGTAGCCGAGTGTGGTGGCGGGTGCCTGTAGTCCCAGCTACTCGGGAGGCTGAGGCAGGAGAATGGTGTGAACCCGAGAGATGGAGCTTGCTTCAGCCTGGGTGACAGAGCGAGACTCTGTCTCAAAAAAAAAAAAAAACCTCTTGATTTAGAAACTGAGATAGCCTGTTCCCATGGGAGTTCACTTTTCAGGTCAATATCTGTACTTTGGGGTTGGATCAATTTTAGGGATATGAAAGGTAACAAGATTGTTGTCAGTTAATTTGCATTTTCACCGTCTATTTTTGTTATTCTGATAGGGAGATTCGGCTGATTCTTTTTTCATTGTAGAATCTGGAGAAGTGAAAATTACTATGAAAAGAAAGGTAAGCATTGTAAGTCCTCAAAGCCTACATACTATTAGCAAGGAACACAACAGATTTACTTTTTGATGTTTAGACTGAGGTTAATTTTACTTTTCATAAGCTGAGGAAAAGCTCATCTTTTTAATTGCCTTGTCAGGGTAAATCAGAAGTGGAAGAGAATGGTGCAGTAGAAATCGCTCGATGTTCGCGGGGACAGTACTTTGGAGAGCTTGCCCTGGTAACTAACAAACCTCGAGCAGCTTCTGCGCACGCCATCGGGACTGTCAAATGTTTAGGTAGGGATTGCAACAGTGGGCGTGCTTCTCCTGGTTGAACTTATGTCTGCATTTTATGTATTCATGTTGAATGAATCATTTTATTGGGTTCACAGGTTTTGTGGTCCCCACAAAAGGTAACAAGATTAGGACTCGTTGCCTTACAAAATTAATTTGTGGAAGCCATTTTTTCTTTGAAATTTTTACATCCAGGTACATTTTGCTCGTTTGTGTATATATGAAATAACATCTCATATTTGTCATTAAAATAAGAATTCCAAGTACCACGTTTTATATGGAATCTCTCATAAGCAACATGTGCTATGTTCCTCAAAAGAGAAGGCTAAGGTACGATTTTTATAAAGTCCGTTATTAAGATCTGCGGGGAATGCTGAGATGCTGGGAGAATCCTTACTCATTAGAGTACTGGGAAACAAAGGTTCACGTTTGTCAAAGCACAGTCAAATGTTCTTTGCTGTTCAGTCGTTATTACTATTTTACTAGAGTAGCTTGGCAGAAATGCCGTCTTCAGGTGCAGACATCTCTGTATATCTGAGATTGTATATCTGAGAAATCACTTACTTTGATAAGAAAATATAGTTCAGGAGGTGGCAATATGGTGAATATTTTAAGAAAAGTGATCCCACAGTAATTACCCTCTCTGTGCTTTTCATCCATAATTCAATAGAATAAACTTAGTTTTAATGTTTTCAAGATTTGCAAGGATCCTTAGAATTAACTTCTTAGAGAAGTCATTCTTTAAAAGGTTTTAAATAAGTATAATATTAATCAAGTGTTAAATTTGGACGGAAGAGAAGACAATTAGAAACTGACAGGTAATTTCCCTAAGTAGAGCTATTAGAAAGAGTAAAGGTGAGGTGAGTGAAATTCTGTTAATTTTTTTCAATAATAGATTATTACATTCACATCAAAGAAAACCTGAGATACAGAAAATGTAGGAAAAAACATACCACTGCCACTCAGTGATTTCTGCTATTATAATTTCTTCTTGTCCTTTTTATTTGTGTGGGCTTCCAGTTGTTAAACAGTTTTCCAAATAACTTTTAAAGTTCACTATGCTTAGGAATGTTCTTATTCTGTTACACCAAATTTTAAAATTCTTTTAGGTAAATATATACATGATAAATTAATCATTCCTCACTGGTAAATACTTTGAAGGTTTTGGCTCCAACGTTTTGGTGGGGACCAATTTTTTTGTGCATAGAAGGCTTTTCTGTATTATAGGAGTTTTCCTTAGAAATGGTTTTCAGGAGTGGGCTTTTAAAAAATTAACTTTTGACACATATTTGCCAGATTACTTTTATTTGTACTAATTTACATGCTACTAGCAGTGCCATAATGCCCATTCACCCTATTCTTGTCAGCATTGCCTTTTTTTATCTTTGCTAATTTAAAAGGCGAAGAAGATATATTTTAATTTGTACTTTTATATGTAGAGTATGTCATATTTTCTATCTATATATTATGAATCCAGTTTTAAGATCCAGGAGACAGGCAAGCAAAGTGATATCTAGCATGTACTTATAGAAGTAAACAGAAGCATTATGTCAGCTGCCATTTTGGGATTGCATAGGGATCCAAATTTGTATGGGGAGCAAAAATTACAAAAGTTAACACCTGGCCTTCACAACATGGCATTTTAAACCCTGAGAAGGGAACACAGGATAGAAAACACTCCTGTGCCATCTTTGAGGAGTAGACATTTCTAAGGTGGAGACAGCACATTTATTTTTTAAAATTCTAAGGTCTTTCCATGATAGTCCCTCATTCTTTTCTCAGCTTGGACCAGGAACCTCCCACCAACTTAGCATTGCTCATCATATTGCCAAGGGACTGCAGAGTGTGGCCCTGGCTGCTTACTTTTTCAAGTGGAACATTTTTATCATTATGCTTTTTCTTGTATTTTATAGTATTTACCTAAAATATCATTGCATTATTGATATATATGGAATGTATTGTATATGACTTAGAAATAATTGTAATAACTTAGAAATTCTGCAGATTTGCAAAGAATGTTATTAAAAAAAAATCTTCTCTTTTCTTAGCAATGGATGTGCAAGCATTTGAAAGGCTTCTGGGACCTTGCATGGAAATTATGAAAAGGAACATCGCTACCTATGAAGAACAATTAGTTGCCCTGTTTGGAACAAACATGGATATTGTTGAACCCACTGCATGAAGCAAAAGTATGGAGCAAGACCTATAGTGACAAAATTACACAGTAGTGGTTAGTCCACTGAGAATGTGTTTGTGTAGATGCCAAGCATTTTCTGTGATTTCAGGTTTTTTCCTTTTTTTACATTTACAACGTATCAATAAACAGTAGTGATTTAATAGTCAATAGGCTTTAACATCACTTCCTAAAGAGTAGTTCAGAAAAAAATCAACATACTGATAAAATGACTTTGTACTCCACAAAATTATGACCGAAAGGTTTATTAAAATGATTGTAATATATAGAAAGTATCTGTGTTTAAGAAGATAATTAAAGGATGTTATCATAGGCTATATGTGTTTTACTTACTCAGACTGAGGTATTAGTGACTATCCCCATGTAAGAGGGCACTTGGAAATTAAACATGCTACACAGCATGGCATCACATTTTTTTTTTTATAACTCGTTATACACAGTAACATTTTAATCATTTTTGTTTTAAAGTTTTCTAGCTTGATAAGTTATGTGCTGGCCTTGGCCTATTGGTGAAATGGTATAAAATATATGCAATTTTAAAACTTTTATATTTTTGCAATAAAGTACATTTTGATTTCATTGGCATAATGTCAGTAACCTACATATTCCAGTGGGTTTATGGACAGGCAATTTAGTCATTATGATAATAAGGAAAAGAGTCTTTTAGATGAGAGATCATTAATGCATTTTTCCCTCATCAAGCATATATCTGCTTCCTCTTTTTATTTTGCAATTCTCCATATTCTATATCTTTAAAAATTTGGGCCGGGTGCAGTGGCTCACGCCTGTAATCCCAGCACTTTGGGAGGCCGAGGCAGGCGGATCATGAGGTCAGGAGATCGAGACCATCCTGGCTAACACAGTGAAACCCCGTCTCTACTAAAAATACAAAATAATTAGCCGGGCATGGTGGTGGGCGCTTGTAGTCCCAGCTACTCTGGAGGCTGAGGCAGGAGAATGGCGTGAACCTGGGAGGCGGAGCTTGCAGTGAGCTGAGATCGCGCCACTGTACTCCAGCCTGGGCGACAGAGTGAGACTCCGTCTCAAAAAAAAAAAATTTGATCTTGACATTTAATGTCACAAAGTTTTTTTTAAAAAAGTGATTTAAACTTAAGATCCGACATGTTTTATATTCTTTAAGATCTTACACCTAAAAAATCTCTCCTGTCCTAAAAATAATTTGGGATCCTTATCAGCATGCTCACAGTTTATTTCTTTGTTCTTCACTAGGCCTACACATTACAGTCCTTTGTAGACATCTGTTCCCTTGGGTTTCTGTTCTTCTTAGGATGGTTGCCAACCTACAGTCTCATTGATCAGCAGCCAATATGGTTTGTTTTTTTGTTTTTAATTCTTAGAAACATCCTCTAGAGTAATAGAAACAAATTTTTATGAGCATAACCCTATATAAAGACAAAATGAATATCTGCCCTTACCATATATACCATTAGGCCTTGCCATTGCTTTAATGTACACTCATAGTTGAAATTAGTGCAGGATTAACTCAGATGTACTAGATTTTCATTGTTCATTGATATGCTCAGTATGCTGCCAGATAAGATGAATTTAATTATATTCAACCAAAGCAATATACTCTTACATGATTTCTAGGCCCCATGACCCAGTATCTAGAGACATTAATTCTAACCAGTTGTTTGCTTTTAAATGAGCGATTTCATTTTGGGAAACAGGTTTCAAATGAATATATATACATGGGTAAAATTACTCTGTGCTAGTGTAGTCTTATTAGAGAATGTTTATGGTCCCACTTGTATATGAAAATGTGGTTAGAATGTTAATTGGATAATGTATATATAAGAAGTTAAAGTATGTAAAGTATAACTTCAGCCACATTTTTAGAACACTGTTTAACATTTTTGCAAAACCTTCTTGTAGGAAAAGAGAGCTCTCTACATGAAGATAACTTGTTTTATATTTCAGATTTTATTTTAAAAGCCGTGTCTGTTAAACAAGAAAAAACACAAAAGAACTCCAGATTCCTGGTTCATCATTCTGTATTCTTACTCACTTTTTCAAGTTATCTATTTTGTTGCATAAACTAATTGTTAACTATTCATGGAACAGCAAATGCCTGTTTAATAAAGAACTTTGACCAAGGCTATAAATGCCACTTACATTATTTTCAGTATTGTTGGTTATATTTAAATTTTCCTTATAATAAAGCACACTTTTATAATAAAATACATGAATTATTGTTTTTCATACTTTTTTGCTTCTTTAAACTTTTCTGACTTGCATAATGCATAATTCATTGAAAAGCATGATAGAAATGTGGCATGTGGAAGCTAACCCCCAGGGCATAACATAGTAAGAAAGTATGGTTCTGTATGGCAATAGGTTTTTAAAATTATTAGCTATTCGTCATGTGTGGGAGAAATAATTGTGGTGTGTTGCAGATTTATTTGGCCACTTAGAATAACCAAATAAATCTGGCTAACTAGGAATTTGTGTAAAATTATCTAATTAAAACAGCTCAAGTTTGACTTGTGGATGTCATTATTTAATTACTAATCAACACTCCTTACTATGTGAGAATTCTCTGTTGACCGTTCAAGGACAGAGCCTCCTGTGTATCATGTGGGGCTAAGGAAAGGGTTGAGGACTTTTTCCCCAAGAGTGACGGTGCTTTCCCTTGTTTTAAATAAAGATGTGTGTGTATGTGTGTGTTGTTTTCTGCATATCCATATGAACTAGGGATTAGTGCAGATATTTTAACATATACATTACCTGTGACACAACTTAGGTGAATGTATATGTGTTACCATTAGGATTAGTATTATAAACTCTGGCTAAATGCCATTTAAAATGCTTAAAGAGGCCGGGCACGGTAGCTCATGCCTGTAATCCCAGCACTTTGGGGAGGCTGAGGCGGGAGGATCATGAGGTCAAGAGATCGAGACCATGCTGGCCAATATAGTGAAACCCCATCTTTACTAAAAATAAAAAAATTAGCTGGGCATGGTGGCATGTCCCAGCTACTTGGGAGGCTGAGGCAGGAGAATCGCTTGAACCCGGGAGGCGGAAGTTGGAGTGAGCCGAGATTGTGCCGCTGCACTCCAGCCTGGCGACAGAGCGAGACTCCATCTATAAAGCAAACAAACAAACAAGCTTAAAAATTATTCAAGTGAAATGGCATGAAGCAAGGGACTTTGGATTTTATTTTATTGAAACGCAAGATTTAAAAACATGCTGTGTTCTTTCCCTTTCCAAAGCACCTTTAAAGATATTGATAGAATTTTTCCTTTCTCAAAAAACGTAACAAGGATGAGATGACCTTTGGCATTCTCAAGGAAAATTAATACTGTGTAGGCCTCGAGAGGTGAGTCATACATCTGGATTAAGGCAGAGCTTTGTTAAATTGCTGAACAGGGGATTCTATTAAAAAAAATTACTACCTAAGAGAAATAGAGTTTATAAGGAATGCTATCTTCTAAAATTTAGTGTTTGGTACAGCCTGATGCCAGGTATCAGAAAGAATTTTGACAAAAAGGAAAAATTGGAATGAGTTGAGACAATCTTACCTGTTCTAGAATACTTTTAAAGGCAGCAAAACTGGATAGACTGAATAGACTATAGAGTTGTTCAATGTGTATACCTAGGGACAATCAGTGACTTCACTAAAGTCATTTACTTTGTGAGTTGATGGCAGAACTCGTGGAAAATTGAGATCTATTGATTCCTCATCCAATTCATGGCCTCATATATTTTCCCAAATAATGTTAATGAGCCTGGCATATAAATTGGTATATAGTTTCCAATGCAGAGAATAAGATTATTTTGAGAGGAAAACTTTTGATTTGACCGACAGATCTGGGTCTTTCTTTACTTTTTTATGCTCCAAATTTATAAATCTAAAATTGCCTAGAAAATCCTGAAGAAGTATGTATCATATATAGGAAGATGTGGTGATATCTGATAGGGAGGTAATGTCTACATCACAAAAATGAATGCTACCTACCAAAGAGGTGGTTTTCCCAGATTTTGATTTAACCATAGCCTGAGTCTCATCATTTTTCCAAATATAAAAAATGCTAATACAAAATGTATATACATTAAATCATGTCAATCATTATAATTGATTACAATGAATCAGTTATAATCAATTATAACTGATTCATTATAGCATATAAATGCATTTTTTACTGTCATTGGAAAACAGAAAATGACCTTTTTTTCAGGCACAAGGGAGAGTTTTCTGTGGCTCTTGACTGTAACAACTCAGACATGAAACCCTAAATATTTTCTATTTAACTTGAAAAAGTTACAAAGTAGACCCTTGAATGAGTTTATGAACAGGAAATATGACAAGTTAAAATCTTAAGTTGCTATTGATGACTGGTTTTCCATCTTGGTCCTAACTGGAAACCTTCCTAGATCTTGCTGAGGAACAAGAGAATAAACTCTGCATCCCTGAAACTTCATCACCTCTCTTAGGCCAAGGGCTGACATTTAATACAAGTGTACTTCCTTTACATAATGACTACATTCTTGAAGTATATACAAATGACATTTTTTAAAAGCCAAGTAATAGTTTTAAGAAAGGTGCACACTATAAAGGCATCTTTGGCAAATCTATTTTCTCCTAATTGCTCTTTAAAGCTGAACTTAAATATCCTCAACATTTTTATTACTTATATACTGTATAACTTGAAGGAGTTGGTGTTAATTAGGTTGGTGCAAAAGTAATTGCGGTTTTTGCCTTTTTTTAAATGGTAAAAATGGCAAATATCACTATTACTTTTGCACCAACCCAATACTTTGTTTGCCTTTCAGTGACTGACACTGTGAGGGAAACAAAAATGAATAATAGTGCTTATCATATAAACATAGCTGGAAGATGGCTCAAATAATAACAATGACTACATTGAGGAAGTGACAGTTAAAGTGCACGCAAGTTATTCAACAAAGTCGAATATTCAGACCAGCATCCTATATATAGTGCTACACTATGCTGTATATGAGAAAATTCATGCTGCTTGTCTCCCCCCCTTTTTTTTTTTTTTTTTTTTGAGACGGAGTCTCGCTCTGTCGCCCAGGCTGGAGTGCAGTGGCCGGATCTCAGCTTACCACAAGCTCCACCTCCCGGGTTTACGCCATTCTCCTGCCTCAGCCTCCCGAGTAGCTGGGACTACAGGCGCCCGCCACCTCGCCCGGCTAGTTTTTTTTGTGTGTGTGTTTTTTAGTAGAGACGGGGTTTCACCGTGCTAGCCAGGATTGTCTCGATCTCCTGACCTTGTGATCCGCCCGTCTCGGCCTCCCAAAATGCTGGGATTACAGGCGTGAGCCACCGCGCCCGGCCTCCCCTAACTTTTCATGTTTCACAAGTATGTATTTTTTTGATTGCTTATTATGGACCAGACAAAAGCACATGAGATGGGGACTGATAAGGAAAGAGAGAATGTAAATGTGGAGGGGAGACAAATGTAAGCAATAATATTCAGTTTAGCCCAGTGTGATAAAAAGCGATGTGTGTACTATTCCTACAATTTTTTTTTTTGAGACGGAGTCTGGCTCTGTCAGCCAGGCTGGAGTGCAATGGTGAGATCTCGGTTCACTGAAATCTCTGCCTCCCGGGTTCAAGCGTTTCTCCTACCTCAGCCTCCCGAGTAGCTGGGACTACAGGCGCGTGCCACCACGCCCAGCTAATTTTTGTATTTTTACTAGAGATGGGGTTTCACCATTTTGGCCAGGATGGTTTCGATCTCTTGACCTTGTGATCTGCCCGCCTCGGCCTCCCAAAGTACTGGGATTACAGGCGTGAGCCACCGTGCCCGGCCCTATTCCTACAATTTTAGTTGCTCTTTATCCGACTTAATTGTACTTAAAATGAGGTACTTTTTGCTAGCAACTAAACATAGAGAAGGGCCTAGGATACCAAATAAGGAGTAGAAAATATTATGTGAGAATTTGTGTTAAATAGTTCAGATAACAGTAATGATCTCTAGAAAACTTGCAAGACATGAGAATAGTCATTTGAGCTTGATTTTATACATTGAGAGTGAGATGAAATAGAACTGTTGCCTTCTCTAAATACATTTTCATTTATACCAAATTAGACTTGATAAAAACTTTTTGAGAAAAATTAGGATAAAAAAATGAGTAGTCCTCTCTATGTCCTGAGGATACTCAGGTTTATTTCTCTAGACTTGGCCTTCCTAAATGCCAGATGAATATATTCAGCTGCCTAAGGACCTCTAGACTCAGATTTCTTGCCTGCACAGATGCTCATCACCTGAGGCTGAACCTATCCTTTTCCTTCCTCCCAGTCCCCAAATCTGCTATCCTCTCCAGCATTCCCTTAGTCAATAACATCAGCATAACCACCCTTCCCCAACATACTGCAATTACCCAAGCCAGAGACACAATCATTTTGATTCTTCCATCTTATGTTGATTTTTCTTCCTAATGTGGTTATAGTGTTAAGACAGTAGCTTATCAGCCACTGAAGAAAGGTCTTGCTTTCTGGTCATCGGAGCAAAATCTAAACTTGAGTTGTATCAAGAACTACAGGAACAGGAGATGACTCAGTTCTAAAATGGCCATCATCAGCTCCCGTGGATTTCATTATAACTTGCCTGAATTACCTGAGTACTTTGAACTAATTAGAAAATTAACTCATTTTAAAGGATAGTAAGGTATATGGAAGGATATTTGTTTGAGTTTAAATTTGCAAGATGCTATCTGAAAACTCTGAGAAGTACTTACTTAGACCATACATGTGTTTCTCTATTTAGTACTTGTTCATGTGATTTCATTTGTTTACCTTTTGACAATTCAAAGTGATTATTTTCAATATCAGGCAATGCATGTACTTGAACTTCTATTTAGTTCAACAAAGCAGCCATTGGTGTGTCAAATATGGTGGAATCAGGGAAATACATTATTTCACTCCTAAATAGGATTTATCGGTTTTTTTTCTTCTGTTTGTTTTTTACTTTTGTTTGTTAGAGATATAACAAATTAGAACTTGATATTTAAGATAACAGAAGTAACTTCACAAACTGCTGGAAAGACATTTTGATTTCACAGTTTCTTGACATATTTTTGCATACATTTTATGTGTGTACATGTGTGTATAGATAATTGTGACTGTACCAATCAAGAAGAGGTGTTATTTAAAGAAACTGATTTTTTAATGTCAATTTTATCATGGAAACATCTGAAGGATAGTTAAAAACTGTGATTATATCTGTTTTAGTCTGAGAGTATAATTTGAACATGTAAAAATTTCCAAGGAGATCTTACTAGTTTTGTACTTTGATCTTTCTTCTGGCTTATAAGTTGGCTAGTTTTATTGGTCACTCAATTAATGATGAGGTCCCTGTTAAATACACATAAGGTACTAATGTGGTCATTTAGCCCCCCAGGGAAGTCAGAAGATTGGACTAATTGTCCACTTAAAGGTGTAGCGAATTCTAATACTACTATTTAATCAGTTGTGACTAAACTATCTAAATTTAACTCATATTAAAGACTTGGACAA